TTTTCTGACTCAGAATTTTGTGCTGATCACGAATATGGGATCTAAAGTTAGACAAAGTAAACATTTCGTGAAGTCGAATGCCAAAAACTGAAGGTTGGTCAAGGTCAGTCCGATTGATAGTTTGCAGCTTTTCACCAAGAAAGAGTCATTCAAAAACTTGAAACTAAACAGTTATTGGTAAAAATAGCTGCTCTATCCAGATATGTAAACAAAAATGCAGTGTGAGCGTATTTTGAGCGAAAATATTAAGAAAACGAGGAAGAATAGTCAAAAATCGACTAATAATTAGCGTTTTCAAGAACGTTCCACACCTTTTTCGATTTTTATTTTAGCACCAGTGAGTAGAGCGTGAAAAACTGCGTCTAGCATGTAAGTTTCTATCCAGCAGCAAGATTTTTGGATTCTTAAAACGAAATAAATAGATCAGGAAATTCAAATTAAAGACCTCAAAAAATTAAATTAAAATTTAAAATCAAAGTTTCGATAATAATAAAGTTGATATTCGTGATCAGCATAAAAAAAACTGCGTCTGATGATGTATATTTAAGGCTGATTCAAGATAAAAAATTTCCTTCAACCATCTGATTCAAAGGTTATCGTTAGCCGGCCAAGCTGAGAGGTGAATGTGTAATCTTTCTGACAAAAGTTTCCCATACATTTTTTGGAACCATAGGTTTCTATGATGATTTTTTCATGATTATGATGTACATTGAATGCAGATTCAACAGTAGAAGGAGCGATCCTTAGTTCCTCACCGCCCTACGCATGTTTCCATCGTAGATGCTCATTCCCAATGAATTTCCATAACCACACAATAGTTAACCTTTATACTTTGACTCGATGGTCTATAGTCGTCAAAGAGTATTTGCTGTTAGCCTGAAGTCGAACTGATGTTCGTACAATGAGTTATGAATTATTTTTGGAACGGACCTCATATCTGAGAACCTCATTTTCAGGGATCTTGATCGTAAACTAGCTGTATTTCAGTGTCTATTAGCAGCTTCCTTTTTAAATTCATATCATAGGTAGAGAGGAGAATAAGGACTACATTTTTGTAAAACGAAAACGTTTTCATCTTTCTTGGATCAGGAGTTATTAGCATTTTGTGGAAAAGAAGTGAAATGCTTATATCTCGCGAACCATCCAATAAAAGAGGCCCAAGCTGTGTGGTTGATCAGTATTCGGTAACAGCTGCAACCGTACAAAAGTAGAAGTCTCTAGCTATCGTAGTTCTTGAGTTAGTTACATGGGGGTACTTTTACGGAGTACTGTAGTACTTATAGAAGAAATAAATAATGAAAAACAACTCATTCGAATAAGCTAAACGAAGAATAATGTAACATATGTAGCTACTTTTTGATTGATATTTGATTGAATTCATTTAAAAGAATTTTATTTCAAATGCTGTCTCTTAAGTAAGGGTGAGCGTGAGGGTGAATTCACCCTCGAAAATGCTCTCAACTTAAGAATCGACTTTCTCAATTGGTCAGATTTTATTATAAAATATCTTTACACTACTCTTCAAAGGCAGCAGCATCCTTATAACTCAAGAACCATAATAGCTAGAGACTTCTGCTTTTGTATGATCCTTGTTCTCACCAAATTCTGATCGTCAAGCAAGTTTGAACTTCTTTTACTGAATGGTTCGAGAGATATAAGCGTTTTATTTCTTTGCTTAAAATACTGCAAAATCTTGCAGTAAATCGACTTTTTTTCGGAAGGCACTGTATATCTCAAAGATGACCCTGTACTTAGCTGTACTTCGGCAATCATGAAGAGTTAATACTTTAAATTCATACTATTACATTTTCACAAAAAGAAAAAGATTTCATCGTCGTTGAATCAGGATTTTCGAAAATCCAATGGCTATAAGTGTTGATAACAGAAATATAATCTGTGAGGTTCATTCGTTCATTTTTTAAATATAAAAATTAACGTAGGCTTTTCTATTTGACGTTGTTTTTTGTAATTCATAAAAAAAATTATCAAAACAAAGATAGATTTTTTTCTTTATTTTTAACATAAACCATTTCCTTTTGCTTTCATTAAACACGACCGTCCTTTAAGTAGATAGTTTCTAAGTTCGACATCAACGATTAATTACTTTAACAACAAAGAGATTCTACTGTTTTAGTTGGTACCATTCTTATTCACTTCTTGTGGTGGTTCTGCTATTTTTCCAACAAATACACGTACAGCTAGGTTTTGGGTATATTGAGTTGCTATTACGTAACATCTTGGATTATTAAAATTAACAAAAAATGCGATACATAAGCCACCACCATTACAACACCAACATGAACGATACGGTCTACAATAATAATTTGCCCAGCTTAGCATAGATGGATACCAATAATTATACCAAAGATTCCACTGTACCCAACAATCGATAGTTGGAGGGTTATTAATTGGAATTATTGCTCTGGCTTGATATTGATAACGTGTACGAGCATTTGGTACAACCTCAATTAGATTCGATTTAGATGCTGATATTGCGTTGAATAAAACTTCTGAAATGTCCAACCCACCGTCATTTGCTGAATCTAAAAATTTAATATTAAAATTGCAAGCATCACCATCGGTATTATCGCCACCATCTATTTGAGTTAAACTAATCAGCAATAAAATATTTGTTAATAACAAATTTTTATACATGTACATTTTCCTTTTAAAAAATTGCTTATCTAATCATATCGATGGACAGTTGAATATAGAAGCCTTTTATATGAATGAAAGAAATTGATATATCTTCTAGTATATATATTTTCTTTAATTGATTTGGTGATCAAGAAAATACTTGCCCTTATTTAAGAGACAGCATTTGAAATAAAATTCTTTTAAATGAATTCAATCGAATATCAATCAAAAAGTAGCTACATATGTTACATTATTCTTCGTTTAGCTTATTCGAATGAGTTGTTTTTCATTATTTATTTCTTCTATAAGTACTACAGTNACCCCCATGTAACTAACTCAAGAACTACGATAGCTAGAGACTTCTACTTTTGTACGGTTGCAGCTGTTACCGAATACTGATCAACCACACAGCTTGGGCCTCTTTTATTGGATGGTTCGTGAGATATAAGCGTTTCACTTCTTTTCCACAAAATGCTAATAACCCCTGATCCAAGAAAGATGAAAACGTTTTCGTTTTACAAAAGTGTAGTCCTTATTCTCCTCTCTACCTATGATATGAATTTAAAAAGGAAGCTGCTAATAGACACTGAAATACAGCTAGTTTACGATC